TTTTTTTATGGTGTCTTTGCCTGGTTTTGGTATTAGAGTGATGTTGGCCTCGTAGAATGAGTTTGGGAGTATTCCCTCCTCTTCTACTTTTGGAAAACTTTAAGGAGGATGGGTATTAGGTCTTCACTAAATGTTTGATAAAATTCAGCATTGAAACCATCTGGTCCAAAGCTTTTGTTAGGTAGTGTTTTGATTACCAGTTCAATTTCTTTGCTGGTAATCGGTCTATTCAGATTTTCTGTTTCTTACTGGGTCAGGCTTGGAAGGCTGTATTTTTCTAGAAAGTTGTCCATTTCTTCTAGGTTATCTAGTTTGTTACCATATAATTTTTCGTAGTATTCTCTCATAATTCTTTGTATTTCTGTGGTGTCCATCATGATTTTTCCTTTCTCATTTCTGATTCTGTTTATGTGTATAGACTCTCTTTTTTTCTTGATATGTCTGGCTAGGGGTTTATCTATTTTGTTTATTTTCTTGAAGAACCAGCTCCTGCTTCCAGTGATTCTTTCTGTTGTTTTAGTCTTCTCAATTTTATTTATTTCTGCTTTAATCTTTATTATGTTCCTCCTTCTACTGACTTTGGGCCCCGTTTGTTCTTCCTTTTTTAGTTTCATTAATTGTGAGTTTAGTCTGTTCATTTGGGATTGTTCTTCTTTCCTGAGGTAGGCCTGTATTGCAGTATATTTCCCTCAGCATGGCCTTCACTGCATCACACAGATTTTGTGTTGTTGAATTATTGTTGTCATTTGTGTCCATATATTGCTTGATCTCTATTTTTATTTGGTCATTGATCCATTGATTATTTAGGAGCATGTTGTTAAGCCTCCATATGTTTGTGGGCTTTTTCATTTTCTTTGTGTAATTTGTTTCTAGTTTCATACCTTTGTGATCTGAGAAGCTGGTTGGTACAATTTCAATCTTTCTGAAATTACTGAGTTTCTTTTTGTGGCCTAGTATATGATCTATTCTTGAAAATATTCCATGTGCACTTGAGAAGAATGTGTATCCTGTTGCTTTTGGATGGAGTGTTCTGTAGATGTCCGTTAGGTCCATTTGTTCTAATATGTTGTTCAGTGCCTCTGTCTCTTTACCTGTTTTCTGTCTGGTTGATCTGTCCTTTGGAGTGAGTGCTGTGTTGAATTCTCCTAAAATGAATACATCGCATTCTATTTCCCCCTTTAATTCACTTAGTATTTGTTTCACATATGTAGGTGCTCCTGTGTTGGGTGCATAGATATTTATAACAGTTATGTCCTCTTGTTGGACTGACCCCTTTATCATTATGTAATGTCCTTCTTTGTCTCTTGTTACTTTCTTTGTTTTGAAGTTTATTTTGTCTGATACAAGTACTGCAACTCCTGCTTTTTACTCCCTGTTAGTTGAATGAAATATCTTTTCCATCCCTTTACTTTCAATCTGTGTATGTCTTTGGGTTTGAAGTGAGTCTCTTGTAGGCAGCATATAGATGGTTTTTGTTTTTTTATCCATTCAGTGACTCTGTCTTTTGATTGGTGCATTCAGACCATTTACATTTAGGGTGATTATTGATAGTTATGTACTTATTGTCATTGCAGGCTTTAGATTCATGGTTACCAAAGGTTCTAGGGTAATTCCCTTACCATCTAACAGTCTAATTTAATTCGCTTCTTGTGCCATTACAAACAGAACCTAAAGGTTCTTTCTTTCCCCTCCTTTTTCTTCCTCCTCCATTCTTTGTATGTTATGAATCATATTCTGTACTCTTTGTCTATCCCTTGGGTGACATCTATTTAGCCTTAGGAATACTTCCATCTATAGGAGTCCCTCCAAAATGCACTGTAGAGGTGGTTTGTGGCAGGTAAATTCTCTCAACTTCTTCTTATCTGAAAATTGTGTTTCAGAATAAAACTGAAAAGGAAAATCCCTCCTTCAATTTTAAACGATAACCTTGCCGGGTATAGTATTCTTGGTTCAAGGCCCTTCTGCTTCATTGCATTAAATATATCATTCCACTCCGTTCTGACCTGTAAGGTTTCTGTTGAGAAGTCTGATGATAGCCTGATGGGTTTTCCTTTGTATGTGATCTTTTTTCTCTCTCTAGCTACTTTTAAAAGTCTGTCTTTATCTTTGATCTTTTGCCATTTTAATTATTATATGTCTTGATGTTTTCTTCCTTGGGTCTGTTGTGTTGGGAGATCTGTGCACCTCCATGGCTTGAAAGACTATCTCCTTCCCCAGATTGGGGAAGTTTTCAGCAATTACCTCCTCAATGACACTTTCTATCCCTTTTTCTCTCTCTTCTTCTTCTGGTACCCCTATAATGCGAATATTGTTCCGTTTGGATTGGTCACACAGTCTTCTCAATATTCTTTCATTCTTAGAGATTCTTTTTACTCTTTGTGCCTCAGCTTCTTTGTATTCCTCTTCTCTAATTTCTGTTCCATTTACCTTCTCTTCTACTACATCTAATCTGCTTTTAAATCCTTCCATTGTATGTTTCATTTCAGATATGGAATTTCTTAATGATTGAATCTCCGACTTAAATTCATTCCTGAGTTCTTGAATATTTTTCTGTACCTCCATAAGCATGTTTATGATTTTTATTTTGATCTCTCTTTCAGGCAGATTGGTGAGTTCAGTTTAATTTGACCCTTTTTCTGGGGTATGTGAGATTTTGGTCTCAACTGTGTTCTTTTGATGTTTCATATTTCTGTGTGGTGCCCACAATATAAAACAGTTATAAAATAGTCAAATAACATATATTCATTGATGCTTAGAATTAGTACACTGAGTTATGTTTGAACACAGTTGGTGGTTTTTCAACTACTTTCCTCTATAAAGAAATTACACTTAATGCTGATTTCGTGAAATTGATTTTCTTTTGCAGTTTCCAAGGGCATGATGTTGTCTTTGGCTGATAAATCAGAATATGGGTTCTGATCTGATATAAAGTCTTTATTATCCCTCAAAATTGGCAGGGGCACCGTATAAATATTACCAACTCATGCCCCTACTTTTACCAGCCTTTCAATAACTTCTCATTCATTTTAGTTGTATTATGATCTATAAAATTCAGTGTTATTTGAAAAGGCCCTGTGATAGCTGGCCTCAGTTGCACCAGCCTTCTTGAAGTTCTTGGATCTGTGGAGTTCATTTCCATCTCAGTGACTTCTTGTGTATTGTTTCTTCTGCAGATGACACCGCACCCTGTCCTCTCCCTCCCCACACACTTTTTGTCATGACTTTTTTGCATCTTTTGCCTTGCCACTTCTTCAGAGAAGACTTCACTGATCTCTCTTCCTAAATTACATCTCCTAGCTGAAACCTCTGATTGTACACTTTAATTTCCTTCTTAGATTCATCACTATCTGTGTCTATTTGTTGTGATCATTTGTCTGTCTGATTCCCAATCTGGAATAAGAACTCTGTGAATGTAGAGAACCTGCCCATTTTTGTCTATTGGTAAATCCTTGGCAGTTAGCGCAGGGGCTGGCACCATACCTGATGTTGCTTATGAGGTAGGCTGAGAGAACCAGTGCCTCTGTTCCCAGAATCAAAATTATCTTGCAGACACATAATTCCTTGACTGACACTAGTTTCTTTGAAAATGCAGTACTAATATAAGGGAGTGCTTATAAAACTTCAAAATCTGGTGTCTGGGTCCCTCCACCAATCCATTTCCATCAGTATTTGATACTAAGAGCATGAGCTAATGTGGATTACTGATAAATGTTGACACAATTAAAAAAATTAAGCAATACTTGGGTAGTGCTATGGACCTTCCTTAAGGAAAAAAATGTAAAGTCTCTCTTTTAAAAAGTCCTTCTTAAAGACAGTATTTCTAAAAGTAAAATTGAGGATTTATGTAGCAAAACCCAAATGTTTTTACACTAATTCAGATCAGTTACACTCTTGCAGTAAATTACTGCAGAAAGGTCTTCAAGCAGTTAGATGTACCTCTGTATTTCCATGAATTTAAAATTTGGGTTACACATGTTAAAAAGGGCCATAGACAGTATTCTGGTATTTTATCAAAGATAACGTTCTGTTTGTTGTGCCTCTGGTTCTAGGCAGTATGAAACTGTGGTTCCGCTTGAAGATTCTATTGTGACTGAAGTTACAGCAACTCTACAAGAATGGGCCAGTCTGTGGAAACAGCTCTATGTGGTAAGTAATTGATAACTAGTTTACTAAATCATTAAAATTCCTTTGTACTTAGTGAAAAAATTTATCTTACCTATGCCAAAAGCAAATTTTCAGAGTTCTGAATATTTGCAGTTTTTCAAATGTTTATACCTAGTATTAGCTGAAACATAGTAGATTGAATTTTATCCAACTTGAAGAGAACACATTATTTATTTGCGTGCAGCCCCTCCACCCTATCCCAGTCAGTAGAAATTAGGTTCCCTAATACTGGGGATTTTAGCTATCTTACTAATTGCTGTAAACTTAGAAACTTTTGTAAAACAGATGTTTATTGAATGAATGAAGAAAATTGGGTCACATTGTGAATCTGATGGTGGGTCAAGGCCAAGAAGTTGTATCAATAGTTTCTTTTCTTTTTTTTTTGGAAGTTTTTTTTAAATTAAGGTATCATTGATATACAATCTCTTATGAAGGATTCACATGAGCAACATTGTAGTTTCAACATTCAACCATATTATTAAGTTCCCCCACCCCCCACCCCATTGCAGTCACTGTCTATCAGCGTAGTAAGATGCTATGGAGCCACCACTTGTAGGAGGCTAGATTTCTTAAAGCCAAACTTGGGTAAGTTTGAAGTTTCCTTGACTGGTTTGATTTAAATTGAATTGAGTCAACAGTTTCTTATAGCTGCTAAGCTTAAAGGATATGCCATATATCACACTTTTAGCTAGGCCAACACTTAATAGAAAGATTAATAAAAACCCATCCAGTCCATAACCTCTGGAAACTTAGTAGATAGAGGGCAATAGGACACACAAAACATAGACTAAAAATAAGTGACAGGGTTTGGGTTCTCAACAAGATGGAGTAAACACATTCTCTTTTACTCCTACCAACTATGACAAAAATACTGGACAAAACTCATAAACCACCTACCAGAAAAATCTGAAAGTTGGGAAAAAGCAAGAGCTGATCAGGGACCTTGGGACTCGCAGGTTTCGTGAGTTCCCTGTTGTTTTTCTTGCTCCCCAAATATCTTGGTCTGGGCTCTAGAGAAGCCCACCACCTGGAAATGCTGATGGGTGCAGACAAAAAAAATAGTGCCAAGGAAAGCCTGCTTTCTCTGGGAAAAGGATGACAAGTTAAGAACTATCCTGCCTGTTCTCTAGGAGGATATCGCAGTAAAAGCTGCACCCCCTCCCACCCCAGCGGGCATCACGGCAGCGGACTCTGTAGCCAGAGCTCTGTCCCTCACACACTCATCACTCCACCTTCAGTAGCAAGATGTCTCTTTCCAGGGGAGCCTGTGACTTCATCGCCCTGCAGTGATGAGACCGTGCTCCTCTTCAGCGGAGCCTGTAGGGAGAACCTGACTGCCACCCCACGAGCAGTTAGAAGGTGGCATCTCTCCCCAGCAGAGCCTGGGGGTGGGGCTCTGGCTTTCACAGGTACCCAGCATAACAGGGTTGTGCCTTTAATCCTGCAGAATTCTGTGGGCAAAACTTTGACTTCCTCTCATGCTCTCAAGTGAGAAAGAAGCATTCCTGTGCAGACAATCCTGTGGTAGAGCTCTTGATTTCCACTCCCCTGTAGCAGTAAGATGGTGCCCTCCCCAGTCCTGTAGGCAGGCTTCTTGACTCCCACGCACCACCACTCCCACACTCACCGTTAATGAAGCAGTACCCTTTAAGCACACCCTGTGGACAGAATCTGTTTTCCATCTTTGTCCTACTTAACGAGGCAGTGCTTTCCCCCACCAAGCCCATTCTGAGGATAAGGTGGAATGAAGTTCTGTCATCTAGGTAACACACAAATGGGGAAAACCATAAGTGCACTGGGAAAATTTTATAAACTAAAAGCAGCCTATGAAAGTGAGCCTGGGGTTGGATTGCATTCTGAATCTAAACAAGCTGACCACCTGCTAAAATAGAAAATTTTAATAAGAGTTAGAGTGTAATAAATAGTGTAACACTGAAAATGTCAGCAGTGGGCCCTAATCACTTGTCATATGAAAAATCAGGAAAATTTCAACTCTAATTGTGGAAAGACAACTAACAAATGTCAACTTTGAAATGACACAGACGTTGGAATCATTAGCAAGGATTTTAAAGCAGCTTGTGTAGAATTGCTCCAGGGGACAGTTACACCAAAAGAAATCAGGAAACTGCAGAAAAGAAGTAGAAAATATAATGAATGAAATGAAGATTTTAGAACTAAAAAATATAATAACTGAAACTTAAAGGCTAAATATCAGAATGGTGGAAAGCACAGAGAAAAGAATTAGTGAACTTGAAGATGGATCATTAAACATGACTAATCTAAATAATGGAGAGGAAATAACCTAAAAATGTGAATTTAGCCTCAGAGAACTGTGAACAGTAACATAAGACTTAACATTTGAGGCATTAGCTACTAGACAGAAAGGACAGGATGTGGAACTAAAAAATATTTGAAGAAATAATGGCTTTAATCTCCCCAAATTTGGCAAAAAGACATAAACCTACAGTCAAGAAGGTGAGTGAACCTCAAAGAAGATAAACATAAAGAAATCCGTACCCAGACACATGGTAGTTAAACTTCTGAAAATGTTGGCCAAAGGAAACATCTTGAAAGGAAAATCACACATTATGATTAGGAAATGGCAATTTGAATGACAGCAGATATTGTGAATCTGATGGTGGGTCAAGGCCAAGAAGTTGTATCAATAGTTTCTTTTCTTTTTTTTTTTGAAGTTTTTTTTAAATTAAGGTATCATTGATATACAATCTCTTATGAAGGATTCACATGAGCAACATTGTAGTTTCAACATTCAACCATATTATTAAGTTCCCCCACCCCCCACCCCATTGCAGTCACTGTCTATCAGCGTAGTAAGATGCTATGGAGCCACCACTTGTAGGAAGCTAGATTTCTTAAAGCCAAACTTGGGTAAGTTTGAAGTTTCCTTGACTGGTTTGATTTAAATTGAATTGAGTCAACAGTTTCTTATAGCTGCTAAGCTTAAAGGATATGCCATATATCACACTTTTAGCTAGGCCAACACTTAATAGAAAGATTAATAAAAACCCATCCAGTCCATAACCTCTGGAAACTTAGTAGATAGAGGGCAATAGGACACACAAAACATAGACTAAAAATAAGTGACAGGGTTTGGGTTCTCAACAAGATGGAGTAAACACATTCTCTTTTACTCCTACCAACTATGACAAAAATACTGGACAAAACTCATAAACCACCTACCAGAAAAATCTGAAAGTTGGGAAAAAGCAAGAGCTGATCAGGGACCTTGGGACTCGCAGGTTTCGTGAGTTCCCTGTTGTTTTTCTTGCTCCCCAAATATCTTGGTCTGGGCTCTAGAGAAGCCCACCACCTGGAAATGCTGATGGGTGCAGACAAAAAAAATAGTGCCAAGGAAAGCCTGCTTTCTCTGGGAAAAGGATGACAAGTTAAGAACTATCCTGCCTGTTCTCTAGGAGGATATCGCACTAAAAGCTGCACCCCCTCCCACCCCAGCGGGCATCACGGCAGCGGACTCTGTAGCCAGAGCTCTGTCCCTCACACACTCATCACTCCACCTTCAGTAGCAAGATGTCTCTTTCCAGGGGAGCCTGTGACTTCATCGCCCTGCAGTGATGAGACCGTGCTCCTCTTCAGCGGAGCCTGTAGGGGGAACCTGACTGCCACCCCACGAGCAGTTAGAAGGTGGCATCTCTCCCCAGCAGAGCCTGGGGGTGGGGCTCTGGCTTTCACAGGTACCCAGCATAACAGGCTTGTGCCTTTAATCCTGCAGAATTCTGTGGGCAAAACTTTGACTTCCTCTCATGCTCTCAAGTGAGAAAGAAGCATTCCTGTGCAGACAATCCTGTGGTAGAGCTCTTGATTTCCACTCCCCTGTAGCAGTAAGATGGTGCCCTCCCCAGTCCTGTAGGCAGGCTTCTTGACTCCCACGCACCACCACTCCCACACTCACCGTTAATGAAGCAGTACCCTTTAAGCACACCCTGTGGACAGAATCTGTTTTCCATCTTTGTCCTACTTAACGAGGCAGTGCTTTCCCCCACCAAGCCCATTCTGAGGATAAGGTGGAATGAAGTTCTGTCATCTAGGTAACACACAAATGGGGAAAACCATAAGTGCACTGGGAAAATTTTATAAACTAAAAGCAGCCTACGAAAGTGAGCCTGGGGTTGGATTGCATTCTGAATCTAAACAAGCTGACCACCTGCTAAAATAGGAAATTTTAATAAGAGTTAGAGTGTAATAAATAGTGTAACACTGAAAATGTCAGCAGTGGGCCCTAATCACTTGTCATATGAAAAATCAGGAAAATTTCAACTCTAATTGTGGAAAGACAACTAACAAATGTCAACTTTGAAATGACACAGACGTTGGAATCATTAGCAAGGATTTTAAAGCAGCTTGTGTAGAATTGCTCCAGGGGACAGTTACACCAAAAGAAATCAGGAAACTGCAGAAAAGAAGTAGAAAATATAATGAATGAAATGAAGATTTTAGAACTAAAAAATATAATAACTGAAACTTAAAGGCTAAATATCAGAATGGTGGAAAGCACAGAGAAAAGAATTAGTGAACTTGAAGATGGATCATTAAACATGACCAATCTAAATAATGGAGAGGAAATAACCTAAAAATGTGAATTTAGCCTCAGAGAACTGTGAACAGTAACATAAGACTTAACATTTGAGGCATTAGCTACTAGACAGAAAGGACAGGATGTGGAACTAAAAAATATTTGAAGAAATAATGGCTTTAATCTCCCCAAATTTGGCAAAAAGACATAAACCTACAGTCAAGAAGGTGAGTGAACCTCAAAGAAGATAAACATAAAGAAATCCGTACCCAGACACATGGTAGTTAAACTTCTGAAAATGTTGGCCAAAGGAAACATCTTGAAAGGAAAATCACACATTATGATTAGGAAATGGCAATTTGAATGACAGCAGAATTCTCACCCGGAACTATGGAAGGTAGGAGGAGGTGGCCCAACATCTTTCAACTGC